ATCACAAGTGGATCGCATTCCAAGCGCAAAGTATTTCAACAATGCCGCACAAGTGCTCTACTCTACTTTGAGAGGACGGTTTATTCTTCCATGAGTGCTGCCTTGGACTACACCGTACACACCATCGTGTCTTGAGTCCGAAAGGAGCTAGATCTTTAACCACGACACCTTCACGTGGTCCTTAATATGACGTCCTTGCCTATGGTAAATCACATCGGGCGGGCGCCTAGCTCACGTATCTGCAATGTCACACCAAAAGGTATACCCTACTAAATATGCACGTGCAGACTGTTTTGATCATCAAAAGTCATCTTACCAGCTGCTGCAACTTATCGATATTCACCGACGTTTACATTTTGATAAGTACGGTTTTATTATTTTAGCTTGCCTCGCGACGCCGATTCCATCCTCTTCCGCGCAGAAACATGTGCGTTGTCAATATGCTAGCTACTTTTATGCGCTAGGGAAGGCGTAGGATACCTTACTACGCGACGGCATATCGTTTCTTCGGTTTTTCGATGCCACTAAAGTATGAGACTGATGTACTCTTACACATACATGTCCCCCATATCGAGCTTCAGGCACTTTCGGAGGTATTAATGCTTCGACAGGTCATTCCAGCCGAGATGCCGAATGCTCGGTACCGGGTTTCGCTAGTCGCCCCGGAAAAGTGCATGTCACACATTGCTTTATGACCTTTCTTAGGTCTCAAGAGGGATTGAGCGGCAATCGCTGTACTGCGACGGGTGGTGCTCACTCAAGGCACCAAGGGGCAAGTAGCATCTATCGAGCTTGCGCTCTAAGGATATGTACATTTCTTGAAAGTTACCATTTCTGACAGGTCGCTTAGGTTGGAGGACTAAGTGCACATCATATTCCAGGTATAAATTGACCCTAAGTCATTGGCTGTTTGATGACGACTTGACAGATGGGACAAAGAGATACGGTCGCTACATGTCCTCGCCGCATATCGTTCTTGCTTCAAGCGTCGAGCAATTGAGCTGGTCGCAATTGATCGCATGAGCAAATTACGTGTATGCGCGCGTGTGCGTGAGGTATAGACATAGAGGCAGACAGAAAGCAGCTGCGAGAAGTACGGCCCTTACCTTCCGCCTCCTCACGAGTAGTTTTGTCTTTCGAGCTTGAACAAAGGAATGGCTAAATGTACCTCCTCGTTGCCATCGCCCTTCCACAAGACACCTAATCGACGGGAAGGGTTAAACATCCCCAACTGAAGAAAACTACCTGTCCCCAAGTGCAACGGGGTTACACGTCGACTGGTAGTTGACAATAGGTGTGGTACACACAAGGGATAAGATTCTCTTTAATGTAATATTAAAACACAAGTTTTAATTGTTGAAGACTGGTGTCTGTCAACCATTGAATACGAGATCTTTTGATAGGTTTACTTAGGACATAAGTGAGTAGGTTATTTACTTTGTTCTACGGTGTTCTTTTAGGTTAAAAGAAGAAATAAAATTCAGTTCCCATTTTGATCAACAAAAGACACGTGCCTCTCTGAGGCGTCTTGCGATCGTAACTAAATATCAACGCCTTGTTAAGGCAGCTACTCCTTGTGCACTTAGTGCGTTTGATTCTTTGAATCGTTTGGTCCCCCTGGAACAGGGACCGTAAGCTCTTTAAGCTTGTTGACTCTTTGAGTCGGGTTCGTAGAATCAAAGTTGCTCGTAAGAGCTGTTGACTCTTTGAGTCGGGTGCGTAGAATCGAAGTTGCTCGTAAGATCGTTAAGTCTTCCTCTGATTAAAGGAGCTGTGTAGCTCCGCCACACCAAGTCTATCCCCAACTACACAAAGACATATAGTCAGTTATTTTTGGGTCGTAATTTGTGCTCGTCTTCACAGATGGCAAAACGACAGCGGTACATAGCACCGAGTTCTACGCTAAGAGAGGCTCAAAGAACACAAATAAGCTTATAGGAAAACCACGACCCTGCCCGGGTCCCCGCCGTTTCGAAAGGAGGCGAACGAGCCCATAAAGCCGAGCCTTACATGCAATGTGTCACCTCTAGCCGCAATTGCATTCCTATGAATGTACGCGGACCTACGTAAATGAAACCATCGGAATAAGGTAGGACCGTGATCCGCCTGCGGCATACAAATTGAGGCTCTGACAAGTAGCTAATCATTTCTTCTGCAACTTCAGGGCGATATGTAAAAGTTGACGAGCTGTCCTGCGACTGAGCACACTTTCTGGCAACAAGATGTAAATGGTATTGGTTTTGCATACTAGTGCGTCACCTATGTCGTTGATGTACAGGGGTCAGTGGACAACGCCAGGATCTAGAAGGAGCTCACAAGACAAGAATTAAAGGGAAGTGACAGACTGTTTTGCTCAGCATGACAGTCTTGTGATTCTTTTCCGACGCGCACGTCGCTACAAACGATGACAGTATGCAGCTGCGATCTAATGTTGGGCATATCTGTATCGTGAATGGCAGGATGACTGGATGATCAGTGTGGATACGCCGTCGCTCTCAAGCTGCTGATAAGCCTACGTCATGAAGAGTGCTAGGTTATAAAGGTACGTAAGTGACTATGTTCTTTAAGTATTTTTATATACTCAAGCGCTCCGGGGTCAATGGTATGCAGTGGACTGGCGAATACGTCTACAACCAGCAGATGCTAAGGTAACGAAGCCACTGTTGTTACCGCATCTGTCTACTAATATCTAACGAATACTCGGCGCATGTAAATATGTATTACAGAGTCACTTATTCGTTGAACGAATTGTCCAGCCTCGAGCGTATATGGATACTGATAGCTCGAGCTTTAACAGACGAAGGCACTACGGTGCGCACTCAGTGAGCTGCAGCAACAACATGACGCGAGGTCCGGATCACGCGTGTCGATGCGAATGCATTTAAGATGTAAAATGAAATTAAACTTATGCCGAGATCAGCTACGTGCTCATATCTTGTCTCAGAACTTTAACCGCATCTCGTGCATGTAAACTTTCATTAAAAATTATTTAATGCTTGTTATGCGAAGTGCGTGATTACATGGTAGGTTAACGTGCCCGGTTTCGCTTTCCTATCTGAGTCCATACCAGCTATATTAGGTGTATCTGCAGTAATCGCTTGATCGGAGTCGAAAAAGTCTTGCACTTCACTCTCCAAATAGTTAGACTCGAAATAGCTGTCATTACCATGAGCAACATGCAATAAATTTTGACTCTGACCCAAGTTTCTGCCGTGCCCTTCAGAATCGCATCTGTCCTTCGCTCCAGTAGTGGCCACACATAGTATCGACTTTCTACATACATCCGACACGTCAGGCCGCAAGTTGCCATCAACCTCGGACTGCTGACGATACGTATTCGAGCTGTCTTTGTCTAGCGGACGAATATCCATCCATAAATCTGAATCCAGTAGATATGTAAGTCGCGATAGGATCGAATGAAGGTAAACAGTAAGCTTTGCAGCACGTACCTAGCTCAACCCTGCATGTCGTCAGTGCTGCACCTTTGACCGAACCTGTATTACGTCAGTGTAGCCCCTTGGCTCGTACTTGTCTTACGTCAGGTCAGCACCTTGGATCGAACTTGTCTCACGTCAGTGCCGTAGTTTAGCTCGTATTTCTTGGTGTTTGTTTCCAAACGCTAAGACGTAACGTTTAGCACTGGCGTGTGGGGGAGCCTTTATATATACATATTCATATGTAGATCTGTATGTATATTAATATCATATATTTATATTGATCGCAAGACGCAAGGCTATGTACCGCTGTCGTTTTGCCATCTGTGAAGACGAGCACAAATTACGACCCAAAAATAACTGATTATATGTCTTTGTGTAGTTGGGGATAGACTTGGGGACAGGTAGTCTTTCAGTTGGAGATGTTTAACCCGTCCCCTTATCGACGTTGTTAGTCTAGCCGCTGGTCCCATGGATATCTCGCTTGTGTCAGTTGAAGCGCCAAGGAGGCGACATTGCTGTGCACACATCGCCCACTGATAGCGCGCTCGGAGCGATGTGGGAACTGGGTTGTCACCTATTTGACGCTTGAATCAAACAAGCTAAGAAAAGCTCTACTACACGACGCTCGAGATGGCGGCGTGCTGGAAAAAATGCGACGTCGTCGGCACGAACAAGCTGAATCGGTCATGCGCCTCAGCAATGGGGCTGACATAATCAGACTGTTGACTTCAGCAATAGGGGTGACACATCAGGCTGTTGCCTGCTAAGATGTACTGTCGTTTCGCGTTATCCTGTGGTCTGCCTTGTCATATGTGCTGCAGCTGCGCTCGATAATCGCCAACGTCTACCCGGCAAAGACACACGAGTAGTGTATCTGTGGCTGTAGGTGATTTGAAATAGACTTGACAATGTCACGGTCGACAGATCGCCCGACTGAAGTAAAAAATGCACTTATCAGCATCCAGTGCAACCCAAACCAGGAGGTACAAGCTTCAACAAAATGTAGCCAAATGTTGTCATCTCAAACAATACAATAGTCACATGTGTTTACCGTCATCGCGTTCTTGACACGCTTCACACCCTACCTAGTTATCACCATCTCGGCAAGCTACGAGCTCGTGTAGCCACTGCGCATCGTCCGGTCCTTACGCAATAGCCATATTTTCATGCCCAAAACCTCCATCGCAAGGTTTTCGCCCTGTAATCCGAAAGCTTGACCCGGTGCAAACATGGCTACTCACATCCCAGCTTGGGCGCCTGGTGCACACGATGCATTTCGCTTCTCTAAAACTGCATACAGCATCGCCTCTGCGTGGGCTGAGGCGATGCTTTCGTAAACCACTGCAGTGACAGACAACTTTCCCAAATACCACTATCATCGCTCAGCCGCCAGTCCACACCAAACGTCGACGGGGCTCTGCCGTACGCGCTAAATGGATCAACTCCGATCCAACTATTTTGGCACGCGCCATGGCTCTGAAGCAATTTAGTCTCCAGATTATCTATCCCATACGCTGAAACTGTACTGGCACACGCCTTGCACTGAGTAGTTCAATCTCCAAGCTATCCAAGTCCGTGCACGCTATCAACGTCCCCGAGCAAGATTTTGTACGACTGCGTTGCAGCCACAAAAGCATCCACGCGCTCGCCAGAGCTACCCACTCCAACACGTCGGCCAGCTTCGGCAACGGTAGATTCCAACGAGACTGAGGTATCCGATGCCTTGTCAGGATGCAACTTGAGGGCGAGCTTGCGGTATTGTCGCTTTATCTGCTGAACGGGAGCGTCGCGTGGCAAGCCCAGCACGCCATGGAAGTCACGACGCTCCCACATCATCTGTATCCGGTCTGGTTGCCACAACTGCTCGCCATCCAAGCAACCTGAGCCTGACGCTAAACCCATGCGCTTCGCGAACGTTGAGCGAACTAGCTTCATGCGCACGCGAGCCGCACGAAACAGGTCTTCCTGCTCGTTTTTGTCCAACGGCGCCGGACGCCATGTACGATATTGCCCGCGCTGATCGAATGGGCCAAGGCCGAAGGCACCGTCGATGCCGTAGTCAAAAGTTGGCAAGGGGCCGAGCCTACCGTGCAGATAGCGTGAAGGAACTGCGCCGCACGTAGATGACAGATCAGTGGAATCTCCACGATCTGAAGCCGACTTGCTGTTGTCATGAATGGTATCCATGAGCACGTTCGTATCGCGATGTTGTGCTGCCCTGATATCACCGCGGAAAAGTTGCTGGTTCGGACAGGATGCCGATGATGACGTGTCAGCCCGAGTATTGTTGCGAGAGATATTGAAGCCGGGCAAGCAATGTGTGGCACTGGGGATCGCATTAGCGGTTACAGAAGCAGCAATTGAGGATCCATCTGTTAGCATGGTGACCGAGCCGGTCAACAAGCACATACAGTGATCATCACAGCGATAACATTGTTGACATGAAGACAGCATACCACAGTAGTGACCCTCAATACCTGCTGACGCGTTGCTCTTCCATTTGCAGGCTTCATTGGACTCAACGACATCCAGTATGTACGCCATTGTTTTTTGCACAGATGAAAGTCTGGCTGAGCAGCACATGCGGCATCCGCAACTCACACACACGCAATGAAGGCAGCAGCCGCAACATCCTGTGCAGCGCCGCCGTAGATCACGGCACCCTGAACATCCCATTCGTAGTGGCGGACAGCCTTCAGAACGCTGGTCACGACTGCCGCCAATACTGCGCACAGACATCACCCGCGATGATGAGACTTTCGGCCGCACAAGAGAAGGCAGGAAACCGGCATTCGATGCTGCCAATGCTTTTGCGACGCGAACTGATTCGCTTCGACGACTTCTACTACCTGAAGTGCTTTTTAAAGCGCGAGTGCTCACTTTCTTCGATCCGCGCACGTGCCGCCTGTTGGACGTCCGAGTGGTCATGCCTTCCCTTCGAGCCGGGCTTAAACGCTTTTCGGGTCGAGCAGGTTTTGTCGCGGACCTTAGCTGCTTCTTTTTGACTGGCGTCATGAGCGTCTCACCAACTTCCTCGTTTCCCATAAGCTTGCCCAGTGCGTACATGCAAGACGCAGCCAGCCCCTTGCATTCTTCAAAAAGTGCCTTCTTATTTCTATCGAGCAAAGAAGGGCGTAACGATACACATGGTCTATTCCTGCTCTCACCGTCAATTTCGCGCAGCAACTGCTCCTTTGCTAACGTGATTTCATGTCGAAGCTTTTTCACTTCGATAACGTCAGGGGCGTCCTTGTCAGGATCGTAAACGTTTGTCCAGTCAATACCAATCGATGCTGCAGCATTGGCGCCGTCTTCCGCAATGAGTTTATCTTGTGCCTGACTTCCAGTGCCCGCAAGCAATGCCATATCTGCATCCCTTCGGTCCAGGCTCGCATCTTTTGTTGCTAGTGGTAGGTAGAATTCGTTATATTTCGTATAGTGCCGCGCCCATTGACTCTTCACGAGCTTTTTCTGAATCGCAAATTGCTTAGCCAGCTCGCGTGTCAACGCGTTAAAATCCTTTACATGTGTACGCCACGGCCCAGCACGCCCGAGCTCGTTCATTGAATCTCTAGTGCGTGCCAACGACTCTTCCAGTTCACACCGAGCTTTTTCCACACTCCGCGAGGTCATCATACATTGTTTTGCATCCTCGCGCGAAAATGGACGATTTTGGACCGCGTCGCGCATACTCGCAGGTGTCGATTGCAATAGTGCTGCTTCGTCTTCGTCGCGTAGACTGAGCGAGATGTTAGCACCTGTAGGCATAGAGCCGTAAGAGAGAGATCCAGAGCTACGACAGTATTCGCCGTTGACTGCGCTTCCTTCATGCTGATCTAGTGCTAATTCCCCCGGATGCTTACAATCGACGAAATCGTCCTGGGTTGTGTACAAGAGCGCCTTATTGTGCCAAATATACAAGGCATCCTGAAGGCACGTAAACTTATCATACGATCGATCATCCACTTCATCAACACCGCCTGGATTGAACCACGCACATGAATGCTCAAAAAAGAGCACCCACCATTTGTGAAGCTGCAACTTCGTGTTTTCGGCGACCACATGTGCCGTCACAGACGTCAAAAGGTTTACATGCGCGATGATGCGCTCACGACGAAGACTGGCATAATTTGCGCGATCCTTTTGACAAGTAGGTATTTTTTCTTTCAGCGTGGCCACTAGTGCTTTTATTGCCGCATCCAGGTCCCGCGCATACGTTGTGAGTCTCAACAATAGATTTCTTAAAAAGTAACTGTTGCCAGGATGTACTTGCTCGCTCACCGTAGCAGATGTCACACCATGGACCAAAGGATTGCAAGGGTCTATCTTGCGAAGGTATTCCGGCACGTCGTTCTTGCTCTTCCATTGTAACACATGGTTCACAACTTCGGGACAGTGCTCGATGGTTTCGCGCACTAATGAAATAGGCAGTGAATCGAATAAACTGGACTCAATTGCAGAAGACCGAATCGGGCGCAGAATGTACGTGAACAGATCAGACTTCAACGTATCTTCACCCAAAATGTCATCAAAAATAACGTCGTTCTTGCGTCGGTTACCGCAAACCGCGTGTCTGCTCAAATAGTGCTTCCCCAGCATATGAGCTATCAACGCGAGTGAGTGCAAGTTGACGATCTTATTCTGTAACTCACTCCACTCTTTGTGTCGCGAGGACCCAAACACACCCAGCTCACCACTTAGCGAATTGCGACTGGGCGAAGTGGAAAGAGGTGGCACCAAATTGCCAAGCGCACGTAACCTTTCAGCATAAACCACAACTTCGTTGCCAAAATTAGCGTTGTCCAAGAGAAATCGATGAAGTATCTGGATGTCATGAGCCGAAAGTAGCCATTGCTTCTCCTCGATCGAGTACGCACTGCCGGTCATCAGAGGTTCCAGGTAAAAGTACTGACGCTTACCTGCCAAGAAGCGCAGTAGTTTACAGTCTGTCTCTAAGGTATAGTCTTGAATCAAATTTAAATCGCGGGTCAGACCAGGAAAAGGAAGATCTCGTGTCGAACGAAAGACATCACGTCGATCATTTCTTTTCTCTTCGCTTTGTTTTCTGCTAGAAACAGCCGGTTCCCCCGTCGAAACATCAATCACTATTTCATTCGCATTCGATGTGTCCATGTTCAGCCGTTCGTCTGCGCACTCGACTACGTCTGCACTATCCAGCACATCCTCCTCATGAGCTGTAATGTTTTGCATCTGCATAGCATCGGGGTCCCCGATAGTAGACCGCGGAAGTAAACCGGAAGTGAGTAGGCTTTCGACAGCCTGTACCTTCTTCACCAAATGTGCCAAGTCTTTCTTCTTCGCCAGACCTGCTCTCGTCGAATGCAGTCCAAGAGTACGCACCTTGCCTGCATTGACCCGCTTCGCCTTACCATCACGTTCTCGCAGCATCGAATCATGTATTCCGCTCGTTGTGAATGGATACGCATTGTGGGCGACATTGAGCCGCTCACTTTCAAGCATGTGCTGCTTTCTTTTGCTCGACGACGTAGTCGATAATGCCGCAGTCATCGCGTTGCACTGCCTTTTCACCACCAGCTCAACAACCTTTTTACGGTGCCTCAGCTCTTCGTAACGGCGACGCAATTGCAAACACTTATGACGCTCCAATACTTCATGAGCGCGAGCAAGCTTGACCTCAGCTTCTAATAGCCGTGAAATTTTCACACTGCGTGCCAGTCGTCTCTGCAATATAGTGCTTTTCTCCTGCAAACATCGTTTCTCATCTTTCTCTCTCGCAGTATCACCTTCACCCACTCCACAAGACACGCTTCTGCTCTTCCACTCCTCCGCTTCCTTCGTAGCAAAATCCCCTTCCTGTCGGCCTAGCAAAATCGCCGATACAGCCAGCGAGCAGCAAGTCAGAATCCAATTTCAGCGCTACCATCCCAGCAACAAGCAAAATGCATCTATCTAGTCACTTACATTTCAACTGGCGTTGCGGAGATAGCGTGGTCGTATCAGCTTGCATCCCACGCCAACGCCGATTGCCGCCTTGACACACTGTCGCTCGCTTCTCGTCATCCTTTTGCTGATTATACGTCTCATGTAGCATGCGGTCTTCGATCGTGATCCCCCATGCGACTCCACGCGCATCGTACTGTAACGTATCTCGACTACTGCAAATCGACGTTCGCGCCTCTCCCCTTTCTTCGTTCTTTCCACTCACAAGCAGCTGAACATGAATCATGCCCGTACTATGGCTCTCGCTGCTGCTGCTGTTGTTGTTGTAACTACATCCACCAGCTGGTAGCTGCCGCACCACGCTCACGCCTCTTCCAGCATCGTCGACGTCGCTCTCGACTCGCTCCGTCGTACCTGTGTCCGACCTTGTCGTGTGTGCGTCCGCCACGTCTCGTGCCTCGATTTCCATTGCCTCATCCCTCGTCACTGTCGTCGAGTCACGAACTGCGTCACTGCTCGGACGCACATTAACAGCTTGATGCAAATGAATGCCGCTGGTCCCGTCCACGCTGTGTGGCCCATCTCGTGGCACGTCCATCCCCTGCACCCTCGGCAACGTCTTGCTCTTTTTCAGTGGCTGGGAGCTCCCGCGCGACATGACGGACGCGGGCGTGTCGCTGCTTGCTCTGCGCGGACGAGAACGCTCGGGCGTCCCGCGTCTCGCGGCTGCAGACCCACTGCTGGCGCAGGGCTCGCGCCGTTTCAAGGGCTTGGGGCGATCACTCGGTACGGCTCGAGTCGACGCTGTCGTCGTGGGCTTCGACGAGGCACAAGACCGACGTGCACATCGGTCGACGGCTGCCGGTTCGGACGTGGATGGGGAAGAGAGTCCGCTCGCGCGCGCTGGACGCACGCCGAGTGACGCGCCTACGGAGATAACGCCCATCGCGACGCACGCGGTGAGTGTTGAGCGGGAAACTGCGGGTGGCGCTCGGGGGTCAACGAGAGAGCTCAAGTAATGGGGCGCACGAGTCGATAATATGGGCGGAAAACTGGGTACAAAATGGCCAGGAGGTGGATAATATGTACGCACGATTCCGGAGTCCCTAATCTAGAACAATTGAGGCCAGACGACAGAAGAATGCGGAGCACAGGCTTACGGCGCAGCGCTATTTACAATAGCGCTCGGTAAATTAACGCTTCTATTCTGTGAACGACAGGCGTTTGCAACTTGATCGTGGATGGCGGGCTTGAGTGCGTGTTGAAATACACCGTGCGCATCGGCTAGATAGAGACATTGGGAAACGGCTGATCGACGCATCGCACGTGCAAGTTGTACGAACGAAGACGCAAATTCGTGATGTCGCGACTTTCATGAAGCCACGACATCTAGCTTCTTCATAAGTCTGTTGTCTTTTTTGCCACGGGACGTGCTAGGGCTGCCATAGCTCCAGCATGCCATGTACAAGAGAGAACAGCACTATGTGTCGACGTGCTCGATTACATCGAATTCAATAGCGGCAGACGGTTGATCTAATGTAGCTAGGGACGCCCATCATTTGCTGACAGTAGTTTACAGTAGTTATCGCTCCTCGGGCGTTGGCTACAGATGGCGCGTTTGATCATGGCGATCGGTCCGTAGAAAGCAGAAATAACAACAAACAAATGGTCTGGTAGAAGCCTGATAGAAGCAAAAGCCTCCCATAAACGCAAGGCAATGCTGTTGCAATCAATCTGCAGTTGTCAGACCAGTCGATGTGTCTTTGTGCATGTTAAAAAATGACCTAAAACATTCACGTAGATCGACTTGCTGCAGCCTACCAGCACTTGCCAATCTAGTCGAATAAGTGCGTGAATGAAAGTCAAAAGCGTAATGGCCCAATTTCTTAGCATATATTCATACTGAGCCTCGAGTCGGTCAGCGCCATCATGATGCATGACAACAGCACACAGGCGTCATATGTCTAGACATGACGACGTCACCTTACGATCAAACGATTCGGCCCCCGCCTAACCGTCCGACATGCGCACATTACTCCGATTTGCAAGTCGTTCGCACTGGGCAGCGGAATTCTCGACTTGATAGAAAAAAGACTTTTTAAAAGCAGGGGCGCCTGTGTGGGTTGATTGTGCACTCAGGCCACACCCAAAAGAAATGTTAACAAACTTGAGGCTTTTCAGCACCACGGCGTCTGCAAGTGCAGTCGGTAACTCGACAGTCGGCGACTAATCGCGTGCCTTTCGCCTCAGCAAGAACATACAAAGGAAGTAAAGCGAAGAGGACGCACTGCAGTACCGCGCTATTAGCGTCGTCAATGTGACTGCTGACGCTGGGGCTTGCAACGAAGGCTGTTCTCCGTCCAATGAACTCGAAAGAGCATTAACGGGCACAAGTCTTCGCGATCCTCTTAAATTAAGCCGAAGTAAGCATTTCTGTAACGGGGTAGCCTGTTACATGACATTGTCATTAATGAGAAAATGACAGTAAAGAATATTACGTTGAATGCTTTTTAAACAATATCACAGAGCATGATGATATTGTTGAGATGACCGAAGGGTCTACTCATTGGTTGATACCCTGATGATATCAACGCACCAATCGCTGCTAGACGCGCGCAATGGGTGGTGAGTAGACAGCATCATACGTTAAGTTAGATTAATATAACCAAGTCAGGACGAACTGAGACACAAGAGTGATAAGACTTAATTGTATTAAATAACAGTTTTACTTTTATTGGAAACTAGAGTGTTCACTTAGTCTCCTTTCCTTCTCTGTGTAAGTGTTTACACCTAGCTGGGCACTGACCTTGACTGTCGTCAGTGAAAAATAAACTCCGTACTGGTTGTCCAGTACGTAGTTGTCGATGCCCCGTTACAATTTCGATTTCCCCATGCTCTTCTGGTAAAAAAATCGCATGTGTTTGGCCGTATTCCAATGCCGACGTTGGCTGTATTCGAACTACAAGATCACATGACGTGTTTGAAACGGACCATTTGGCGCTACGGCTTCCTCGGACCCGAGACGCGGGTCAAGTGGTGTAGTCTGAAGCAATTGATGCAGAGCCATAGTCACATGATAATGTTGCAAGTGATCATAACTCAGAATGAAAGAAGTGAGAGGACATTTTTGACTGCCGATGATGGGTCAAAACCAAACGCTGCAACGAAATCGGTGAGCTCCGATGCGCGCTGAGTCAACCCCTTCGCCTAGTGAAAAACATGCACGTTGAACAGCATGGAGACTCTGCCCATGTGTGCGAGACTGAATGTATCTGTATCGTTTTCGCCACGTTTCCAGTCCCGCGTTATCACTGTAGTCTCATTTGATAAACAAGTCCATGTTTCATTGTCCAAGGCGCGTGTATCTCCTTGTTTATTGCATCCTTTCAGTGTTCTACATCACCACTGTAAATTACTTGAGTATAGAAGGTCATGTCGGTCGTTATCGCTGACTTTTAAAGCTGTGTTTACCAGAAGATTGTGGGAGCCTCGACGCCTCCGGGTCGATTAGTATTCATATTATTGCGAGTGGCGCTTGATAAATTGAGCTCGAATGTCCGTCATGTGGTTGCGTCAGTAGCTTTATCAGGATGTATATCTGATAGGCTATCCGTGTACGGGAAAGGGTAGTGTGGAAATCAGCAAGGTGAATGTGACATCAATACAGGCACATGCCTTATCAATGAGATGGCGTCTTCTAGCTGGAGACGTCACCGACAAGTTGACTTGAATCAGCAAGGCTCGAAAATAAGGGTGTACCACAACACTACAATTGGCCGCAGAGGATGATACTTACTATTTATACAAAGGAGTGCACTGGTCGATGTGAAGGTTCTTATCTTTGCCCCCAATAAGGTTCATGGGGCTGCCAGCAAATTCTCTTCGTCTAAGATCAAACATAGGACTTACATGCTATATCACGGCACGAGTGGAATGTAAGGTGTCATGTGACGAATGACCAAGTTTTAGCCGCCACAATCACTCGCTACTTTCCATCGCGTCTTATCTAGCAAATTGCATTGGATACTTTTGACGCATGGCAAACGTCCGTTGACTAATTCATATTGCGCCCAGACAAGTCGTGAGGTGTGTATGACCTTGCTTACACGCAACTTGGTTGCATACTTCATCGATGTGAGTGGGTATCAAATTGCCTTTCGAGCGTGCGACAGTGGCGAGCTAGATACATTCAATTAACGCAGAAGTGTCGCAACACCTCATTGTGTGGACCATCACCTTGCACATCCATGCGCGACGCCATTTCTCTCGGTGTTGTTCGTCGCATATACCCGTCCATGCTAGTATGATCTCGTCTTGCAAGATCACAAGCACTAAATGAATCCCACTGCATCCCAAAGAGGTAAATTTTCATTTTAACTAATCGTGGTCGTATCTTTGCAAACCCTTTTGAGCAGGAGCTACGAAAAGGACCATCCGCTGCTCATACTCAACTACTGCGCGCTGTTGCGCTTTGTAAATTGACGATCGCATGCGAATATCAGGATCCAATGCGAGTTCCACTGTATGCGCATATCATTGTCTTGCAATGTGAAGGCACAAAGATCAGCGTTCATACAAACAAGCCCAAACATACATGACTGTATTCATGCTGACACGATAGCTATCATAGAGCTGACAATCTGACACTTTGGCAGGCACAATAGATTCTTGTACATGGTAACATGTAGGTAGATTCGTTTACGCGTCTCCATAGATGAAAAATAGCTCCCTCTCTTTCTCTCTGCCCCATGTATCTGATGTCGCCTATAGGAATGGTTCCAGAAACGCTCACATCGTCAAGATCGCAGAAGAGGTGTACAAGGGTCGTCGCACAAAAATTCATCGTCGGAGTTCGTGAGCGTCTCACAAGAGTGCACGATCTGGTACGCTCCAAGGTATTATGCTTAGGGCTCCTACCCGGACCGGAACCCCCCCCGAAGGAACCCCCCGGGGGGGGGCTGGGAGGTGGGGATTGGGGGCACGTCAACCCCCCGGAGAGTCGCTGGGGTTTTACATATGTATTTGTAGATACATATCGGTATAAATTGCATAGAATCTACAACAGATCATATACACTCTCTACAAAACAACCCTCGACAACTTCTTGTACCAGTCCTGCATTCACATCAGCATCTCAATGGTGTACCCGTTCAGAGATGCCCTTTCATCTCTTCAAATCAAACCACCCATCGAGAAAGCACGCTCGGAAGGGACACTGGTTGCAGGAATTGCCAGAAGGACCCTCGCCATCTTGCTCAAACTAGGAAAATCCACCTGTCGACGGTGCTAATATCCCAAATGATCCACATCCCTATCGTCCAGGTCTTCCCCCAATACTTCACAATTTCCCCGTCTACGTTGGTAATCTTCTGCCGCTTTGCATAAATGAAATCTTCAAAATCGTCGACCTCTTCTCCTGCCTCTTCAGTAGCCATGAAAACGGCTGCATGAGTGCTGTACCGGCTTGTAGCAGCAACAAAGCTCGCACGAATCATGCAAACATGGATGCCATACTGAGCGAAATGTCCCGCATGCTTACTGAACAAAAACATCTTGATGCGTGGATCGAGAATGACGGCGTGGAGGCAAACAGGTTTCATGAGAGCCGCGTTTAGATACTTTTCAAGCTTTTGAATAATGTCTCTAGCTGGCTGTAGAAGCTCCTCCTAGTCGTAGGTCTGTTTCACCTGCAAGATTCAAATATTCTTGAACATGGATATTGATAACGCGGATTCTCTACTTTAAAATCATAGCTTCGCACCTTTTGCAATTGAACAATGAGGACAAAAAAGATCGGGAGAGCTTTCCGAGCGTGGGGAAACGTGAACCTGCAAGACTTTCTGTGGCCTTGTTCAGAGGTTGGGGAAACATCATGATCTGTACAATCTTTTTCCATTCCTCTTTTGAAAGGGCAAATTTCTGATAATCGATATCGCTGAGGCAGAC